GCTGTCATCAAATGTAGTGTTAGAGCAAAGTTTGAAGATGTTATCAGTTAAAATACTTATACATTTTGGTTTTACACATTAGAGTTAATTAAACAAAATTTTTACCAACATTTTCAAATAAAAGAATCCTCACCCTCCAGAGCCTCATTACATTGTCATTTTGCTTTCTAACATAAATATTTTTCTTTAGAGATTAATACAAGAATCAAGAATAAATGTACTGGATATTGGCTGGATAATTTTGTCAGAACAACCAACTTGCAAGACAATCTTACCTAAATTCATTAGTATGGAAAATAACTTAACAGCTACAATGAATAATCATATATTATATGGTGGATTTGATCAATGGCACACAATGTACAAAACTAAACTTGTGATACCTTCTACTCAAACCGATAATCTCCCACAACACAATTGTTTTTGTGTGAATGTGCTGTATGTGTTAAACCGAACAGTGTGGTATATCATTAACCGTGCACAGAACTGGAATTTAATTATATACTTAATATTCATGACCTTCAAAACATTCTCAATTATTCAGTGGTCTTCGACATGTTCACTAAATATTTTGTGTATGTTACTCAACAGTTAACATTGGCAAGTGTAAACAACAAGTAACATAACTTTTGCTTCATATGATTACAATAAAGTTTTGAAAATTTGATGAGTATGGATTGAAATGACAGGTGACAGTTTACTAAATAGCCGGCTGTATAGACACTTTGAATATTGTTTCCATGAAATTTTTATTTCCTGACTGCATAATTATCTGTTACAATCATAATCACATTATAAAGTCAGTTAAATTTTCTCGGTGGGGGGTGGGGGGCACTTGCCCTGCTGCACTCCCCGCTGTGTACAGCCCAATCTCGTTCCCCGAGCATGCCCGTTCGCAGGTTAAGGGTGGGCATAGCTCTGGAGAAATCGAATTGATTCACGTTGAATTTCCAACGTGAGTTCTACGCATGCTCGGCAATGTTGCAAAATATAAATAAAGTATTTAGAATTTCGCGTCGAAAGTTTGATACATTTTACACCGAAATTGAATTGAAAACAACTAAAAATTCTGGGGGAAATATGTACGAAAGCTTCGGTTGGATAAGGATACAGCTACCTGAAAAATACAAGGAAAACTTCGACGTTTCGAGCGAAGGCGCTTCGACCTGTCAAACAGCACAAGTCGAAGCGCCTTCGCTCGAAACGTCGAAGTTCTCCTTGTATTTTTCAGGTAGTTGTATCTCTATCAATCCGCAGCTTTCGCACATATTTCCTCCAGAATTTCTAGTTTTTTTCAATCGATTTCAGTGTAAAAAGTATCAAATTTTCGACGAGAAATTCCAAATACTTTGTTTATATAGAACTCACGTTGGAAATCCAACGTACTATCTGCCGTTAGCCAATCACAGGCCTGAATCAATTCGATTTCTCCAGAGCTATGCCCACCCTTAACCTGCGAACGGGCATGCGCGGGGAACGAGATTGCTTTTTCTCAAGCTTTTTCTCGGGTCCAGGTTTTCTTCGAGCCGAAAAACATACACGGCGTCAGTTGACAGTCAAAATTTCGCAGGTTTACTCGGGCAGAGCCCTAGGTGATCGCTTTTAGTTTTAACATGCTTTTATTCGTATTAAAACACGAATCCAGAAAGGCAATTTTTTTGCGAATTCAGACTGGCGTGGTTTCTTTTGCTGACCATAGGAATAGTGCCCACCATAGTGAAAGACAGGCAATATTTCGGCGCGACTGCAAAACTTGAACAGGTTGGGGGCGACCCAATATATTACGTCAAACATCACACACCCACACACGATAATTAATTTATTGTTAAATAATTTTACAATCAAAATCGACCTGCGATTATCAATAGAGAGGTTCAGATTTTGTCTTCCACTACCGCAAACCAATCAGATGCATATATTCTACAATTAACCAATCATATGCGTATCAAGCCTGTGAGAGGTGACAGTAATGCTATTCAAATCTGAAACTCTCTAATAGCCACCATATACGGCAGTTATGTATAAGCATTTTAAAGGGGCTTTTCCCTCATTCAAATAAGCACATAATATATTCTCGCAAATAATGATATACAATTACGGTTTTAAATAACATACTGCATTTGTGCGTACTAAATGCGTACTATATTAAATATTTTTTATTAGTACATTCTACTATAATCATGTAAGCCACTCACTCTCCTAACATCTCACCAATTCACACAAAGTCGAAGATTCGAAAGTATAGCCAACTACGTAAGTTAATTAAACTCTTGTATGTACGTCCAAATCTTGCTTGACAGTATGACCGCACAGTTTTCTGGCAACAACAAGGACATATTAGTGAGCTTAAGCAAGTGACGTTTTTGACAACACGAACGGCATGAGTAACGTCAGAAGACTGGGTCAAGGACTGTGATTGGTGAAAAACGTCAACTTTACTTCCGGTCGACGTCAGTGTTGCAAAAACGTCATTTGCTTAAGCTCACTATTTGTTAAGTACAACTTACGGCATCACGTCACGATCCAATGATCGGAATGTTCCATTGTCTTTTCATGTTTTAAAATTTTGAAAATCCCACCGCTCTCCATGTAATCCAGTCACCATTGTTACAGTATAACTTACTTTAGCATTTACCGATTTACGCAAAGGAGAGAGTGAGTGGATGTTATTGAGAACAGTTGTGTATGTCAAAACAGTTCAATGGAAACATTCCCTACTGTATGACACTACGTTTACTGTCAAAGAAAAAACCAATCGTGATATAGAAATACATAGTCTGTCACGATATGATGGTCTGGAAACCCGGCAAACTTCAAAGCCACAAAATAGAAGACCTTTGCTTGATGTTGAACTGTACCTCAGCATGCACAAATCCTTTGTCTCAACTTCATTAATATTATTCATTGGAGTTGCACGTTTTATCTCAGCTATCACTATTTGACGATTACTTCATTATACGAAAATACAATCAGCTCAATCACCGTGACCTTGCACAAATTAACATAAACTCCGACAAAAACATAATACAATGACTTCCGTTTAGCTTCCAGACCATCATATCTTGATAGACTACGGTAAATGCAGCCAACAACATGGCATATCATTTTGAGGTTTCTCAAATTAAATTTGCTCCGTTTCTCCCACAATTCACAGCAGCACACACTGATTGGCATCATCTCCTCCGACACCTAATCTAGAACTCTTTTCTTTCCTCTCCGCCATCTTAAGTTGCTTGTCAAGATCTTGCAATCTTTTACGATGTTCCTTAATCTTCGCGAGTTCATCAAATTTTCCCTTGGCAGTCATCTCTTTTTCCAGCACTTCTGCCATCATAAATAACTCCTCCGCCGCTTTAGCGGCCACTCGTTGCTGTCTTGCATCAAGTTTTGCTAGAGTTCGCTTATCTTTGCCAACTTTTTCTTTAACTCGCTGTAAAATTCCGCTACGCTCTTCTAATTCTCGTTCAGTAAAGTCCAAAGTTTCTTTATGCACCGACTCCATTTGGCCAAGTTTTGACCGCTCTTGTGTAAGCACTGCATTCACTCTCGCTTTCCTTTTCTCAAGCTCCTCAACAGCCTCACCGATTGTCAGTTCCCCAATTTCTTGTTGTTCTTTGTGCTTTTTCTCCATATCAAGCAAGCGAAGTTTTTCTTTTCTTATTAAACTTTTCTCCGCTTCTCTTTCGTTTTCTAATTCCTCTAATTCATCTTTGTTTAGCGTTTCTTTCTCGGCTTGTTGCAAAGCTTGGTTATGTTGGCGCTCGAGCAAAGCAATCCTTCGCCTCTGTTTATAAATATTCTTCTTCCTTTCTCTATTATCTCGATCCAAATCCTCACATCGTCGTTCCACATTCCCTTCCATCTCAATCAAAGGACCAAGCTCGTTCCTAACCAGCAACTCAACGCGTTCCCGTTGTGGTTGGATTGTAAGACGTTCATTTTCCAAACAGTTTTCAAGTTTGACTTTAGTTTCAGTCACCATGTGACTGGCTTTGCTCAGAGCTACCTGATGTTTGCTCAATAATTCAAGTAATATTTTCCTTTCTTCCCTGATGTCTCTAATCTCTTCCCTAGCTTCGCCTTCTAAGATTTCTTTCTTCTTGTTAAAATCAGACTCGCCAAGATCCAATGTTCTATTTTCACTTTCTAGCTCTTCAATTTGTCTTCGCGCTTCCTCCACCTTCAAAAGTAATGATCGGAAATTGGATCAACTTCCATATTACTGTGAAAATCACGGTCCACTAATTTGCTAGCCTTCAATTGTACCCAATCAATATAATCCTAATCTAATCTGAATCTTGACCCCAATCGTATTCAAAGACTCACAGTTTCGTTTTTATAAAACTGCATGTTCACCCGAAAGTATCGTTTCGGGGTATTCATATGAAAAGTCGCCTAAAAATGTAATATCTCATTGAAACCTGGTTTGCGGTCATTATAGCTTCTTGGGATATCCCCGCAGGGAATGGGTCCAAGCGTGTGGAAACAGGATCGATCGATCCATATATGCCTTTAAAAATAGTTGAAGTCGATAAACCGTTCTGTCTTCGATTAATTGTATGACATCACAACCTTGTATTTACCATAATAATTTGTTCATTATTGTAGTTATGTGTTTTGTATAGTTGTCAATGTTTTTTATAGATATACAGTTCCCCCCCCCCCCATAAACCAGCCTTTGCTGATGGGGCTAGTGTCTTCAAATAAAGCTTTTCATTCATAAGAATAGCGTCGTTATTGCAACTAGAACTGCCTGAAAAAAGCTGATCTTTTTCCCTGCCAACTATTTAGACATTTATCTTACTTTCATTCTTGCTGCGCGTCGTTCCATAATCACCCTCTCTTTCTCTAACAAATCAGCCTCCTCCACATCCTCTGCTTTCTCCAGTTTCTCACGAATTTCATTGATCCTTAACAACAAATCTTCTTCAATAACCTGTATTTGGTAAATGAAAAACCTTCAAAACAAACCAACTACATATCTCGTGAAGCAAACCTACACGCGTAAAAATCTCACAACTTGTAGCAAGTCTGTCAACAAGCCGTCAACAAGTTGTGTTCGCACTGCTTGTCCCTAGTTGTCAACAAGTTTGGAACAAACGGCTAACAACTTGTAACAACCATTGTTGATATTATCAGACTTGTTGAAAGGTGTTCCAACAAGTCCGATTCAATCATGATATAACATTAATAACAATACTGTCATAAGCTTGTGTCGTCAACCTTGTAACATTCTTGTTTATCATCATTGTATCAGACTTGTTAGAACAACCTTGTAACAAGTCTGATAATGCCACCATCAAGCTTGTTATTACAAGTTGTTAACAGCTTGTTCCAAACTTGTTACAACAATTGGAAACAAACAGTGCGAACCCAACTTGTCGACAACTTGTGAACAGATTTGTAACAACTTGTTTGCATGCAGACCTGTGACAACTTGTGTGTGTATGTGTACAAGGAAGCAAATAAAGGAACTTATTCCAAACCTTGTGTTTTGCCTGCATGGTATCCAATGTTTTCCAAGCCAACTCGATGTCTGTCTTGCCTGTGGCCAAGGTCCTCATCCCTTGCAAAGTCTCTTGCTCTACTTGTCGTACAGCTTCTTTAGCAGCGCTGATTTCTCCCTTGGAGACAACACGATGTCGCTGTAGCTCCAAATCTAGTTGTTTCATTTTGTTACGCAAAATTTCAACATGAGACTTCGCTTCGAGTTGAGAAGACGAACTTTCGCTGTAAAAGAAAAAGCTGTTTCAACAAAGGGAAGACGTATATGATACTGATGATTGTGGTCGAATGATTAGTGTAATAATCATTACATTACATTACATTACATTACATTACATTACATTACATTACATTACATTACGTTACGTTACGTTACGTTACATTTGACGTCATCATGATGGCTAAATTTGGACAGGAAGTTTTTTAGTTAATATGTAATAGTTATAGTGCATGATATAGACTAAGTTAGAGAACGCAGGTTAGTTAGTTGGCTCACATCGACGACGAAGTCAGATTAAGAAATATTAAAGTGTACGCTTGCAGGGTTTTCAGAATTATTCGGTATTTGCTGTGTTGATAAAGTAGGCGGCTGTGGGAAGTTGTCTACGGAGTCTTAAAGTCATTCAAATTAACTAGTGTACACTGCAAAAAACGCTTAGCCTGTAACAATGTTGTTGAAAACAGGCCTGAACAATATTTTGCTGCCCATATTGTTCCTGGTTGTTAACAATATTGTTCAGCATTGTTCACATGAACAAAATATAGTTCAGGTTCTGTTTTCAACAACATGTTACAGGCTAAGCGTTTTTTCCTGTGTATGTTGATTAGATAGCAACACAACTGAGTTCTGTAACCAAATTATAATGTATCACTACTTTCAAAACTTCAAAGAAAATAACTAAATCAGTTTACGAAATAACACGTCGTTTTTGAAAATAGCCAGCCAGGCTATAAAGTAGACCAGGTTGTGGAAAAAGCTTTGTTGGAATCCTTAGAGTGGAGGAAGGAGAGCAGAATTGATACTTCAAGTACTAAACAAAGTAACCGGCGGTAAGCCTCGTGGCACCGGCAGGAGATCCGGTGGCAGGCTGGCTTATCTTGAAAGCTCTGCTAACTGGCAAAAATAACCTGTATGGCACGAAGAAACACCATCAATACACAAACTTACTTCAGCTCTAGAGAAGTACCACTACTCTCATCCGAGGTTGCCAGCGGTGTCGAACCATTACTCTTGACCATCTCCGGAGACGACGCTCTCTTCACAGCTTCCTCTTTCTCCTCAATTTCCTTTCTCAAAACTTCAATCTGTTCTCGTTGTTTTTCCACTTCCTTCTTCTCCTCTTCCCATTTGCTCAGCAACTCATCTTTCATTTTTTGTATTTCTTGTTCCTTGCTGGCCACATTCAAGTCATGTTGTTCTTTGAGTAAAGCGAGTCTGTCCATCTCCGCGTCCAGTTTACGTTTCTCTTCGTCTTGTTGTTGAGTAATTTTCTCTCGTATTGTTTCCAGTTCACGTTTGGCTTCTAGTTTGGTCTGCAAAGGATAAACAGTTTTAAATAGGCAACACAATTACAGGATATGAAATACTGAAAATAAACTACACAATTACAGGATAAGAATTACTGAAATAAATTTAACTTGTCAACAAGATGTGTTCTATTCCATTAAGTTGCTACAAGTTTTTCACTCACAACTTGTTGACAAATTGTTGAATTGCAGGATGATAACAAGTTGTTGGAACAACTTGTAACAAGTCTGTTGAGCTCAACAACTTTGTAACAAGTTGTCAAGAAGCAGTTGCCAACTTGTCAACAAGCAGTGCGAACACGTCCAGGCGTTTTTCCGTGCTTACGAGGCGGTCACATACACATGATAGATTTTTCCGAGAAATCATGTTTTTACCTCTTCTTGTTCTTGTTTTAATTCCTCAATCAATCTTTTTTCTTCCTCAATTTCTTTCTTTCGTCTTTCCAAATGAAGTCGACGTTTTTCCTCCTCTGCTAATTTCAATTCTTCAGCTTGACGTTGTTGTTCTTGCAAGGCTTCTACATCTTGTCTACGAAGTTAAGAACATAACATCCAGTAAAAATTTGCTTATTATAATGAAAAAAACTGCAATATATTTCCCCCTCTGTTGAGTAGCGGTTTGTTCCAAATTTTCCTGCTCAGTTGTTCAAATGATTCTGCTGAGGGCCCGTTCTACTTCATACGTTTTTGCGAGTTATTTGGAATTATTCGTTTTAAAACACTACTGCGCATGCGTAGTGACGTATTGTCCTGTTTCCACGAATTTCCCTAATTTAACCATCCGGCTCTCCAGTGAAATGTTTTTAGTGGATACAAAACAACCAAATGTTGTACCGTAGTACAAAATCTAATGTTTTATATTATATTCCCTCCCACAATCACAATGGTGCTTATGAATGACGTATATAAATACCGATATATAGGAGAAGGTAAGTGGGATCTCTCCGGGGATCCCACAAACAAAGCCTAAGAGAATGGGAGACTGCTAGCGAGCCCCCAGACTAGGGACGGCTTTGGTGAAGTAAGGGATAGCCACCCAAAGTTTTTTTTAGACCTTTTATCACTGCCTTGTGCTAAACCCATAGGTTAAACCACACAAAACATACGAGGCCGAAGAACCTCTCGCCTTCTTCACACAACATCGAACAGCTCTTCTGCTCTTGTTGTTATTAATGGGAATATGGTGCTGCCCGCATGACGCATTCTTTCTGTCCAGAACCATACTCCAATTACAATGGATGAAATCCACTAAATGTAGGTAAAGGTAATCATTGCCCGTGATCAACGATGCACAACAATAAACCACTTTTCACCACCACTTTTGCACCATTCTGAACTTCCAAGGAAAACAGTTTACTAACAAGTGCATACCTTGCTTTCTCTAGTCTATCAGCCGCTTCTTTTTGTTGACGTTCCATTTCCGTTCTGTGCAAAAATTAAACATATACTTACAAAGAAACCCAGGTGATATCAAGAGGGACATGCACGATTTGTGCACGTAACATCAATATGACAATAAGATTGATTGATACCTTTGTTCTTCAATCCTCTTGGTTTCTTCCATGTATTGTCTTTCTAATTCAAGACTACAAAAATATCAAACTCGTGAGTAATGTTATTCTCTTTTTAATTTGTGAACAGTGGTGTTTATCTTTTAATACCTTGCATTGTAAAGAAGATACGATGGTTTCGCCTCTATTTCGTCCGTTTCACTTGATAAATTATCCATTGATTGGAACTGAAAATTATTAAGGGCATTTCATTAAATTATGTCACCAACTGTGGCAACTGTACACATTTATCAAGCATTATGGTTCATCAGATGGTGGTCAACTGGTATAGATATCAGAAAGGGAAAATAATTTTCTTTTTTTATACCATTCTTTTATACCAATAGACATTATACATAATGACGTCACAAGGCTTGATGCCAGCGAGGAATGCTAGTCTTCGTAGTTATCGCTCGGGAAAATTTCGACTTTCATTTTGAATTGTTTAATTTTCCCGGGCGATGACTACTATGACCAGCATTCCTAGCGGGCATCAAGCCTTGTGAGGTCATTAGTATAAGGTCCATTGTAGGCAATAAATAGAATAAGCCAATCTCGACTATACTCATCCAAATGACGTGGATGCATGTATTAAATAAATGTATAACTATGATTTATGTTTCTATTAGAACTGATTTCCCAGCCTCTGTTGCTCAAATCATTCCTGGCCAATGGGGTTTTCTCTCAGACAACCAAGAAGTTGATTTGTTCCTTTTCGGCTCAAACACATTAAATGAAGGGCAAAATTGCTTTATTAAAGCAATTGAATTGACTTATCCTACTACAAGAGTCAACAGTTGACCATGCACTATCCCAGCAACGCGTGGTAAAACAAGTCTATAAAATAGCATATCTAACAAGAAGAGACTAACCATTCTTTTCTTCCGAAGTTTTGCAGCCTCCCCGGGATGATTGTACCGAAACGTGTTTGCCTTCCCCAACAAAAGTACATCGCCTATAATATGAAAGTGTGAAATAAAAAACTCGCAAGTTTTGTTTCTGGTATCTGAAAATTTTTAGTGTTACTTTTTACTTTTCCAAAATGAATGCTAAAAAGGATTCCATACCTTGTTTCAAGCGTTTTGATTGGTTAATCACCTCTCCATTCACAAAACATAATGTTGATAATGGATGGACTGTCACGTGACCTTCAATACTTTCCAGGATACAATGTTTCGCATCAATGCCAGGTCCGTTTAGAACTAAAAAGATAACAATCTTTGTTATATGTGTCAAAAAGAGGAAAAAAATTCTGCACAGCTTCTAAACCACGAAAAAAGTTTGACAAAACTCCGAACTTAAAAAATTCTTGTAAGCAAAATTTCCCCTCCCCCTCCCTGGTCCACTTCTAAGGATTATATATAAGAATTAGCAACGCTTTTCAAAAATAGCCTACTTTAAAATTATCATACTTATGTCCTGTTTCTCTTTTGCGTCTTCTTTCCCGACGTACGTTCTGCCATCCTGAAATGAATTAGGAGAAGTTTATTTCTACACGTTCTCACATAACACAATTCATTCAGTAAACTGACAAACGTTTCAAAAAACCAGGGCTCGAAATAACGTTCGCAACGTTCCCGATCATGGTGATCGGCAATGAGGACTTTTTGCCGATCAAATAAAAATCTGGCCGATCAGGAGCAATTACCCTCATTTCCTTCAAAAAATTCTAAATATGCCAGTGGGCATTGAATACGCATTTGAAGTTTAACTTTATTTCAAATTGAAGTTTAAATCTATGACATTTGTGGACTTATACACTACTAATAGTGTAACTATATTTAACTAGTGCTTAATAAACTTTATTTTATTATAACACTTTTCAGGTTTTAATTATACCACTGCATTTTTTCACACAAAAGCAAGAAACACAGCAGCATTATCAATTAAGAACTAAAACTTATTATTTTATATTAAAAGAGAAAATCCTACTCAAAAAATCCTATCAATTTGAAATTATTATACAAAGATACGTTCGTCGTCAGCGGTTCGGATTGCAGACTGTACTGTTGAAAAGACGACAACATTTCGTGTAAATTTGTTTTAATAAAAGTAAATTAATTACTTTAGACCGAGAATAGTATTGCTGCCTTTCCTGTCGTATGACTCGTATCAACTATACAAGAGCTTTTCGCGTGTTTTTAAATGTGTTTTATATTACTTTTATTTGTCTTTTACCGTGTACAGGTAAGCATGTCTTTCAGACAATGCTCAAATATATTTCTTGCCGATCAAGGTGAACGGCAACGTTGATTCTTCACCGATCAAAAACAATTTCCTGCCGATCATTGATCGTTGATCGGCCGTTATTTCGAGCCCTGAAAAACAGATCCATATCTTTCATAATCTTACCGTTAAATGATACATAGTAATGCCTGTGCTAAGTATATCATCATCAATGCAGACCAAATGAGGCAACTCTGACTCCATTTTCACCCCAGCGCCTTCATAACGAAATCCTAAAGCGCGTTCCTATAAATTTATGAATATCACTTTTAAGACCGATTCAGACTACACAACGTTTGCATAAAACTGTCGCATGCAGCCTGCTTACAACCATGTTACAACTAAGACAATGTAAGCGAGCTGTGTGCTTGAGTTACACACTCACTAATACACAGTACAACTCAAGTTGTAAGCAGGCTGCACCCCGGCACGGTCCATTGTTTGCTAAAAAGCGCGCAAAAATTCCATACTTTTAAAAACGTAAACAAAATGGCTTTGCTTTCTTTCTAGCTTTCGAATATAAAATAAAACAATTATTCAGGGCTTTCAAAATAAGCCGGCCACCGCCGGAACTCTGGCAGGTGCTACGAGGTTTACCGCCCGGTTACTTTGTTTAGTACTTGAAGTATCAATTCTGCTATCCTTCCTCCACTCTAAGCTTTCAAACAAAGTTATTTTTCCACAACCTGGTCTACTTTATAGCCTGGTTTTTTTCTCCAAAAACAGTGTACTATTTAGTAAAACTGATTTAGTTATTTGCCATCTTAAATCTTGAAGTTACCTTGTTGAAGAATGAAAGTAATGATAAATTATAATTTGGTTACAGAGCTCAGTTGTGTTGCTGTCCAATCAGTTTACACTAGTTAATTTGGATAACTTTAAGACCCCCTAGACCGCCCCCTCCCAACAGCCGCCTACTTTATCAAAACAGACACCTACTCAGAATAATTCTGAAAGCCCTGAATTATTGAATTCGGTTTTCCTATGGTATCGAGAATTATCAAGGCCTCAGTTTGTGTTATACTGTTATACACCTCGGCCTTCGGCTTCGGTCGATAATACAAACCTCGGCCTTGATAATTCTTGATATCATACTCAACCTCATTCAGTAATTGTTTATTATTATCATCACTCGCGAGTGACTCGCGCCTATACTCGTTCGACTAGCCACTCGCGCGAGCGCTTGCAAATATTTGTGCGAGATTCCTTTACCTCAATAATTTTATGACTTTCCTTCCATTTACTGGTCCAGTTTCTAGTCAGTTCTTCGGCCTTCGCCTCGTTTTCATGCAGTCGCTCCGTCATCCTAGTCTCCTCAGCTTGACCGATTCCTGGAATCCCATCAGCCTAAGACGGAAAGATAAATGTCATGTATAAATGCGCAGTAGCACACTGGTACTAGTTTCTGTCTACGCTGGTAGTTTCCTATCCTTTTATCAGACGTTTGCAAAGGGTTTACAGCCATTGTTCGTACTCAGTTTATGGCGTTACTTTTGTACTACTGTAGATGTATATATAAAATACAGTATAACCTGTCTGTTTTAAAGTTGATATATAATATTAAACAAACGACCTACCCTACTTGAGTTTTCGCAACAAGAAATAGGAAGCTCAAATATTTTTTTGGCCTGAGAGAAACCATCTATTTAATAAGACCTACCGTTCCCCGTTTCTTTAACATAGCTTTGAGTGCCTCAATTTCTGCTCTTAACTCTCGAATAAGTCGTACATTTGCATCCTATGTTAAATAGAAGAAAAAAAGAAACCCGTCAGAGATAAAACGTTTATCTGTAGGAAAAATAAGTGATACAATTCTGCTACTTTAAATTATACCATATTTGCACAATCTTTGATAATTTTAACCAAGCAAATAGATTATATGTAAAACGACAATAATACCTCATTGACTGTTGGTTTGTTCACAATATTCTTAGCTCTGTTTGCATAACGTAATGTACTTAATGTTTCCGCGTAGTTCACGTCTGCTGGTGAAATTGCTGCAATGCACAACGAAACAATCATATTCAATACAAACATATTACACTCGCATCATCTGGCATTGTCGGCCTGTGAGTTCTCATCGTTCATGAAATATATCCCTGTTCTTTCTGGTAGATTCTCACTATAGTTTAGACTTCAAAACGTTTTATGAGTGATTGAAAACGGGTTGCCCCCCCCCCTTGACGGGGTACCGGGCTTGAGTCAAATTTGTCAATTTTGGCAATAGGAACACAACTCATACCTTGACGGCTTGAGATTTGATAAAATAAAATTTTGCCACCGAACAGAAAAATAATCAAACCACACAAAGTTTAAAAATATAATGTTATAGGAAAGAGGCACTTGGAGGTATTAAATGTGGTCAGGAAATATTGCAAAAAGATACTGGGAGAAATTGAAATTTTCTACTATACTAGCATGCACAAGAACTTCTGACGTCACTTGCAAGTAACGCAGTTACAACAGATCCCAACATCTGACACCCATGCACACCCCAGCCCCACCCCACCCCCGCTTGAGAAGGGAATTCGAAGTTATAAAGTTTACACCCTACCTGCTATCATTATTGTCTTGGCATTGCCTCCTAGACTATCTTTGAGCAGCCATGTCAGCACAGAATTACGATATGGAATGAATATTTTTTTCTTGGAGTCTTTGCCACTACTACTTGCGGCTTTCTCTGACTGCTCGGCTGTTTTAATAAAGAAAAACCTTCTTACTTTGACCAATTTATGTGCTAATTTGTCTAGTTTAATAAAAGGAAGTAAGGAACTGTTAGGAAAATGTCAGGAGTGACTTTTCCCTGCCACGACGGACAGATTGGCGCTATTGTGTATGAGAAAATATTGTACAACTGATTACCTAAGGCTGAGATAACGGTTCCTAACGTGACCAAGGATTTGTTAATGTTCGCGCCTTCTTTCAGTCTTTCACCTGTCGCCCCAGTTGAGCTTGCACGTTCACTAAGCAATGAAATTTCTAACAATTAATAAATGGGTTATACAGCCAATTCAAAAAAGGTTGTCCTTTGCAAACCTTAAACTCTAAGCGCGCAAAGCTTAATGGGAGCACAAGTTTCAAACTTAGTAGTTGAATATTGCAGCTATGTGTGAATGAATTGTTCTCGTAAGGAGATATTTACCATGTCTCTAAGAAATGGGTCTCATATATGATTTCTAAACTGATTAAATTATGCTCCCATTATGCTTTGCACGCTTAGAGTTTAAGGTTTGGAAAGGACAACCTTTCTTGAATTAGCTGTACATAAACATAAACATAAATTTATTCTTAAGCCAAACAAATAGACCTAATGGAAAGTTGAGAGGTTAACCCTATATATAACAACTTCCAAAGGAAAATTTATAACATAAATATAGTACTATAGTTCTTACAATTTTAGTAATAAATATAATATTTACATATATACATATTAATTAGTTAAATGGTTTTTGAAAGGTGTTCAAACGGTTTCTTTAATATTTAAGTGTTGTTTCAAACGGTTTTTAAACACACTAATGCTATCGGATTCTACGATACTACTTGGTAAATTGTTCCAAATCGTATAATTCTAACAAAGAAAGAGTACTTATATGAATTTACCTTAGCCATTTTTACATAAAGTTTATATCTATGATTGGCTCTAGTGCGTGATGACTTCGACTTTTCAAACAGATCACCGAAATTCATCGTGTTGTAGAATTAGAGCATTAGAAAAGTGATTGGAAAAAGAATGGAAACAAAAACGTGATTTACAACTTATTGCGTGAAACGATTTCTAGGCTTTCTGTCATGTTTTTTTTTAATCTTTGCTTAATTGCTTCCTTCACTCCAGGCAAACAGCTATATTTTTAAGAACTGCGAGATGATGCCAGTGATAAGTTATGAATACTCTGAGTGTATGTACAGTCCCCGCAATTTTCGGCGGCAAAAGGCAATTGCCGCCGATAATGCCGCCGAAGATTAAATTATCGGCGGCAATTTTTTGCCGTCCACGAATTTTTGTGTCACTGATGATGCTTCACTGCCTTCTCAATTCGATTTATAGTTCTTCCGATTATGAACATATGATTAGAAAATAAGTCTGGGAAAGTGAGCTATTCTTTTGTGAGCACTTTTATTTTTGTGACTTATTTTAAAATACATCGAAAGTTCTGATACACTTCATGTAACTTCAATATGAACTTCAAGTTCAAACACATACAACTTTACGTTAGTAATTGTGTGTGTGAAACAAGGTTTCCTTGAATATCAAACACTTTTAATTAGTAGAGTCAAGAGAATACTAAACATAAAATAATTCTGTTCTCTGTCAAAGTGTCAATTTATAGTGACAAAAATATTGCCGCCGAACTTCGAAATATCGGCGGCAATTTTTTGCCGCCAAATATTTATCAAAATTGCGAGGAGTCGAGGACTGTATATGTACCATCATCTTCCATCATCTAAACATTCCTAACTCATTCACTCGCTCACATACATCAAGAGAAGAAAATCGCAAGTGTATAAACGCCCCTCACCCCATCACTTTTCTAAACGGACCGGGTTTTTTCCTGAACGCATTCAGAAACGCGTTCCTGTTGGTTTGGAATGCAAATAGAACGCAAAATCGAACACGTTCGAACGAAATTGGAACGATTTCTGGAACGCGTCGATCTCCAGTGCGTATTTTGTTAGGTTGTTTCTGTGCAGTACTGTAATAGCGTAGGCTTAAATTATATTATATATCACCACCATGACTTTAATTTCTCTACCTACCTTCCTGCCAAATCCACCAAGTGTATTTTGCTAACAGTTTCACTAGGCATATCTGTGTTAAATTTCGCCTGGAAAATTGAACATGCATGTCAAGTTATTTGTTCATGTGTACTATGAGAAAGAGTACAGCTCTCATAAAAGTGAAGGTGGACTATTGTAAATACCTGTGTGAACACCAGGGTAAAAATCGCGTGAGATCTACTGCTTGTGTCATTCATGTTCGTGGACGCCGTTACCCTATTGTATAAAATTAATAGCGAACATTAGCTTTGTATTTCTCAGCTAAAATTACATCCCAGATTTTCCAGCACTAAATGATAGTCCTCCAAAACTAACATTGAAGGCCTGTTGCCTTGTTGTAATGTACAGTAAATGACTCATTCAAGGGAAAATCAAGAAGATGGAAAATCGTGTAGTGTAGGTAAAATTTTTTATACCTGTGAGAGTTTCCAGTGTTCATGAGACTTTCAATACCATTGTAATCACCAACCAAGTGCTTTGTCAAATCTACATTGAAAATTAGGTGGTGATTATCCTTTACTTTTGCCAAAAGTCGGGTGGGTGGTTTTATTTCTTTTTATATAAAGATTTGCATCAAATAAACACACCACAAGGTACTTCTTCTCACTGGATTTTAAACTACAATGTTGAGTGATGCACCATTTACAAAGGAAACTCACAAAAAAATTCAAAATAGACAAAAGTATTTTAAGTCAATTGATGAGTAAAATCATCTGGTATTAGACAGAGTAAAATAATAAAGTAGGGTGTGTCACGGCACAATGCAACTTAATGGTTATATCTCTTTTTATGGGCAGGCAGCTAGGAACAGTTGATCAGCCCTAGTTTTGTGGGATAGTATTTGCAAACGAAAAACAGGACAAATGAACTTTATTGTAGACCCTCCAAGAAATACTTTAAAGGCATCTGGCTCTCCAAAAAGATCTTAGCCTGCATAGCATCTCTCTGTAAGATGGGGAGAGAAAAGAGCAAAAATACAAAAATTGTGCAAGGTCTAGCTATCTAGAGGTACCATACCTTGTACATAAGGACCTTCTTTAGGATGTTCTCTAACTTTCAAGTTATATTGATCTTTGCCTTTTGATGGCCTCAGAAGATCTCTGACCTTTTCATTATAAATTTCTAGATAACTGTGAAACAAAACATGTTATTTTTCCACAATTGCTATATATATTATATAATTTTTGCTAATGAATACATTTTACTGATAAAAACTTTAACACTTTCCCCCAATGAGTGTCACCACTTTCCCCTTGATGAGTAAAATTGTCTGCATTAGACAGAGTAAAATAATAAAGTAGAGCATATCAACTGCATTACCACTTAAAAGGTTAAGACTTGCAACTAATGTCCTGATGTGCCCAACAATGTGATTTGACTATGAAGGGGAAAATATATTATTAATGAATTAAATAATAACTCCATGTTCTATAAATCCTACCTAACTTCAGTCTTAAATTCTGTCTTGTCATTGCTGTTTTCACTCATTCGAGAATACAACCCCTAAAATATATCATACATTATACATCTACATTTGGCTTTAAGTGTGTGACCTAATTTTTCTTCAGAAAATGCCATCATGGTAATACCTCACAAATCCTTGGAATCAAGCCTTCTGCTCCCTGTGTGATAAAAACAAGTATAATAGATAGTACAATTCCAAGCATCTTTTTGTACTAGTAATTCATATTTCAAGAAACAACTTCCATCATATACATGAATAATATTTATGGTACTCTAATTATTCTGGCTGTGTTTTGTCTGAACTACATACTGTATTTTAAGAACATTTAGCGAATATCTTGATGACAGTGGCACTGCCAGGATTTTATTATGTGGGGAGGGGGAGGGGGGGGGGGGCAACTTAATCATTTGTGATGTCACAATTCTAGGGAGGGAATTTTAATTTTAGATCTCTGAAAAGGCATTTCCTGCATTGTGGAGGCACTTGGAGAAAAATATAATTTTATAGGCTTTAATAAATCAGTTTTTAACAGTGTGAGGCTAATGCATCCCATTCATCAGAATTGACTAACAAATAATCGAAAACTACTGGGGGGGGCAGCCACCCTTCCTCTCCCGCCTTGGTGACACTACTGCTCAATGAAGCCCTTTACTTAAAGATGATGTCCACTCGTGTGCGCATGTGTGAACTTTGTTTACATTTTGAACTGCTATATATTTGTAAAATATGATATACTAACTGAATATCTAACACTTTTCTGGTTCGCCATGCTTGTAAATGAATATAAACTCTACGTTTCAATTCAAAAAA